AAATACTTTTATATTGTGTTGTGTTTATTTATTCAATTTAAGCATCTGAGATTTTCGGTGATTGCGATATATCCAGGTTGTTTTATCAGCCATTAATCGCCTTAGATGTAAATAAACATAAACATTAAACGTTATAATTTCAATGTTATATGTCACATAAGTAAATTAGCCTGTCACTCATTTTAGTCTGAATTGGTAGTTAAGATAAATAGCTTGCTTCTATTAATTTTGGGTTTCGTCACTTCATATTTTTTAGCTGACTCTATAAATAGAGTGCATTGTCGCTTAATTTTTTTCTCTTGTAGCCAATTGTAGTTATGAAGTCACTTAAATCGTTTTTCCTGACTCTAAAAAAGGGCAGATTGTATTAAGCGACATTTATCTTTGTAATTAAAGGTCCGCTTTATTTAGAATTAGCATCAGCAATTAGATAATTTAATTTAAATTTCAATGCAATTTACCCCGTTCAAATAACTGCAGAAATGTTTTTGTTACGAATTTTTTTTCGAAATTTCAAACTTTAAAAGGCTCTCCTGTAAAGTTGCAAAAATGTCGCTTAAACCAAATAGCCCGTTACCCCTCGATATAATCAGAATATACAAAATGTGACTATACCGACTGATATGCTAACTAAAACTACACGGTTGTTCTAATGCATGGCAGGGCAACTGGCTGCTACACAAGTATTGAATAACTATTTCTATGTTTGCAATAAATTGTTTTGTATCTGAATTTGTAAACGCACCCACGACAGAGAAATCCTAGATCGAGGCCGCGTATTCAAATAAAAACAATAAAGGTCATAATCGTTCAATTTCTGACCTACAAAACGCGTAATGTCTCAAATTATTGCTTAAGTAAGTATTCCAAATTGATTTACCATATAATATTCCAAATAAATATTGTACAATAGACCAATGTTCAGCGTGAATATCCATGTGAACTGGAAAATACCACGAAACTCTGTTATATGGTATTTTATTTGATTTTTAAACATCTTTGTATTGTTGGGTAACAGCTCGTATGTAATCGATAGATTTCATCAACGAAATTTTTCACTGGCTAAGCACTTACTATGTACTTGTGTAGATTGACAGAATATATTGGTAGATTGATTAACTAACAAGGTTTTTCATTATTATTACATCAAATCAGCTACAAACCTTCCATAGCTCAAAATAGGAACCCCAAATGACTTTGAGATGAACCTTCCTTCTAAGGAAGAGTTAGCCGTAATCTACATCCATCTTTAGCAGCTCAGTGGACTGGGGATTGCAGGCATTTAGTGAGCGCTCACCCAGTGACCTCAGGGAAGGCGGTGGCACAGTGGTCACGTGCTGTGAGACGAAGTGATGTACCCGAACAGGCTTTGCATCGTGGTCGGAGTTTATGGCTCGATCTTCTCCATTCGAAACTGCTTTATAACGAGCGCCTATCGTCACTAACAGACCGACAGACGGACAATTGAAATTTGACGTATAAAAGCCTAATTAATGATTACATACATACATACATAACTTCACGCCTGTCTCCCATGGGGGACAATTAATGATTAATTGAAATAAATGCTTTGACTTTGACTTTGTCTATACCAACCTCGGAGCCCGGGTCTCTCACTATTGAGCGCACCCATACAAGTGCGAAGAATGGCTATCAAAAAGGTGGCTTTAGGAAACGTAGTTACATCACCGAAAATGTAGAAGATACTGTCTGTATATCACGTTTTGAAGTCACAGTTTTGACCACTGTTCAACTAATGAGACAAATCAATAAAGAACGACAAAGTCTAGGTTGGTACAATACCTCGGTTCCACTATATAAGTGAGACACATCTGTTTTATTTTATGCGCTTATATTAACCAAAAAGTAATCGATTTGATATTGTTGTGTGATGTTTATATTGACAGACCTATTTTTATTGTGTTGTTCTGTAGTTTCATTGAGAAAGATTGACGAAAACTTTGGAATTTTATAACTTATCTAATTTAATTTATTTTTAAATAACAATTCGTCAATCGATTTCTATATTTCAGCGCCTATCGTTTTGTATAAATTATAACTAATTATTTAAATAAAATATATTTGTTGTGACACATTTTTGAAAGCAATAAAATGGACTTAGGTTACCTAGACCAAAGTTTAAGGCCTAAGTCGAATAAAAGGGGCTTTTATTTAAAATAAATCCACCTTAGTACATTCCTATGACATTTCCTATCCTTAATCATAAGAAAAATTCTAAATTAGAATAAAAAAATAAACAAAACCGGTAATACCTAACTTAGTACCTAGGTAAGAACCTAGATTCATCTGAAGGCAGCGTCGGATTAACCGCGTAACAAGAGTAGCAATTATTTTGTGCCCTAAATTTAAGGGGCCCAAATCTACACGATCAAATGGTTTCCCACTACACCTTACACAATTGTTTTTTAATGTTTTTGAGATCAGACGTTCTTGAAGATTGACTACAGACCCCGTGCACGTACAGCCGTGAATGTTAAAACGGCTAGGACCTAAGCCTATTTTGACGAGCGTGGCGAGCTCTTAGACGTACGTCGCGTTCCGCGCGCGCCTCAAAGAGCCATTAGACCACTACGGTCTGGGGTCTGGGTGGATGCTGGATGGGGCCCAACGGGGCTGATGCCGCATTCGCACCGATTCAGAGTCGTGGAGAATCTAACGGGTTACCGCAGCAGTTACAGATGCGCAGGAAAAGGAACGGGGTGGTTTTTAGTCAGTAAGAGTCTGACACTCCCTCCCGCCTCACCCAGGCGGGAGCAGTAATTTGATGATTTTCCCCCCTTAAAAAAAGCCTATTTTGTCATTTAATTAAACGAAGTAATGACACTTGTACCTTTTACCTATACTATTCACCAAAGGATGGGAAATGAGAAGGATCAAGAATTGGCAATGCATGCATTTTTTTTTTGAGCAGGGTCATCATCACCTCTACTTTTCTACTCGTTTGCCCTTCGAGGTGGAACTCCGGCAATCCGCTAAGTCCACCGGGGTTCAGTATCCCATTTTGAGGCGGCGCAGAGGCTGAACTAGTGTGCATCGTGTCGCGGGTTTGATTCCTGTGTCGGGCCAAAAGTGCTAATGTTTTTTTTTAAATGAACACTGCTATCAGCATTGAGTTAGGAAGTTACCTCGTGTCTCAGGAATCACATAATACCGTTGATCCTAAGCCAGGTCTTTCACCGGTCGTGTAGATCTGCCATCAAATTAGATTTAGAGAGTGAAGGAACAGAGAGTGCACTTGAGTTTACGCACACACTTGTACACTACAATATCTCCTGCGTTAGGCTAGTCTAGTTAGTAAGACTGACCAACATAATCACAATAATCTGGAGATTTTATTTTAATCAATTTACTTTGGACATAATTTCAGGTCAAGTTTAAAACACCGTAAGGCCATTTTTTATACAAACTGCTGAAACTGTATCACGCATACAAGCCCTGCACTTGTAGGTATCTATTTTTTCTAGTTTTACAAAGACCTAGACCTACCGCCGCCGCTAAAATGATAACTACTTACATCTAGCCACAAGTCTAGTACCTAAGCCTCTATTGTAATTTAAGCTTCTACTTCAATATTGATATTGCCTCGTTGGCCGTGTTCGCAAGTGCGACTGCCAGGCAAGGGGTCTCGGGTTCAATTCCCGGGTCGGGCAAAGTATTACTGGGTTTTAAAAAATATCTCAGTAGTAGCACGGAGATTGGAATTGTGCTCGGTATATGGCAATAGGCTCAGCCCCTATTACATGGGACTCATAACATAAATAGTGAAAGGTAGGTGTTACATTGTACAGTGGCATTTACATGGATATCCCCTCCGGGGATAAATAGCGTGTTATGTTATTTATTATTGACGACTATGCCTATTGTTATTTTATCCCTTTTTATAAGCTGTAAGTCTTCCAAGAATTATAAATAAATAAATAAATAAGTAAATAAATATTTATTTTTTTATTTCGATCTCAACCCTAAGCTCTCATTGATCGCCATGCGTACTATAAAAATTGCAAGGTTTGAATGTTTCCTAATTGAGCCAACCTTACCCTAAGCCACTATAACCCTATTCATCAGTCATCAAATAAGTAGGTACCTGCACACATTAGACCGCTGGTTCATCTCTGTTTTTCATTGATCACTGCCGAACACGATCGTTTCAATGTTAGGTTTGGAAATTTTAGAGTGGGCCCACTTGACCCTAGGTTGTTCTTACCCTGTACATACAATGTTAAAATATATATCTAGGGCACCTAGAGGGGTTTGAAAATTTAGCTATTTTTTAACCAGTAGTTTAACCTCTAGTTTTTAGGATATTTGCGATTTTAATATACGAAGGCTCTTTTTAACAAATTACGATATTTTATTGATTTGTACTCCGAGAAGGGGGGATGAAGGAAAAAGGGCTTTAGCTTCTTTTTCCTCCTCTTTTTTATTTTCACAATATGTATACCATCGCTCAAGTACAAATTTAGTAATGTGTGTAAATTATGATCGATCAGTAAAATACAGGCAATCAAAGAGATCGCAAGTGCACTGTCACTAAACAAGATGACTCTGGCCAATAATATGCAAAGGGCATTGGGGTCAATTTCCAGTTAGCATGTATTAATTTCGAAAACATCCGATCAAGCATGATGAATGTACTGAAGAAATAGTCAAATAATACCTAACTATAAATTATACTACGCATGTAGAAAAGTAACTATAGTCACAGACATGTATTGACTGCTTGCTATCTAGAAATGTAAGAAAATTTAACATTTTAGAAATAGAGAAAGTATTTAAAGAATGACCGGTTGAGGTTTATTAATATTTGAACTTGTTGGAAAAAGAGACTCAAAAGACTCTTTTACAGACATGTGACTAACTTCATCCTTGATAAAAAAATGACAGTTGACAGCGGTGCATGCCGTGTTCTTTTTTTTGGTACCGTACCTTACACCTTACTGTACTGACATTACTGACAATGAATGACACTTCTTATCACTTAAGTTTGACGTATCGTAAATGTACATGTTTGTTTTGAGGTTATAATCTAGTGTAATGTTTTTGCTGCAGTTAATTGTATTTTAGTTAATTAAAGTACTCAAATCTTGAATTAAAGTGTGTGTAATTGTTATTGAAGAACTTTGTGTGACAGTAATCAATCATGGAAGAAACAGAATCAAAAGAATTTGATGCCTCGATAGGTGGTACGGAACACCTACCATTTTCAGCAAACAGTTTAAAGTTTGCGTCTTCTAGAAGTGTTGAAATTGCTGCTATGACTGAGAGTATTCTGAGGCCAAGTAAATCTAAACTTATATTCCAATCGCTGCCTGTTCACATGAGGCGCCGTGTTATGAGCCACAACTGTAAAAGATTACCTCGTAGATTGCGAAGAGGCCATTTAGAGCAACTAAAGAAGAGTGGTTTACCACCTAAGCAAAAGCGTCCATCAAGAAAATATAGACGCAGACCGGCAAATTTATTGGAAGAGTATAATCGACGACAGAAGCAACATGTTTGGTTAGAAACACACATATGGCACGCAAAGAGGTTTCATATGACTGAACGGTGGGGACATCGACTACCATATGCACCATGCGATAAGGCATTTCGGGCTTGTTACAGAGGTAGCTCTGCTCACTGCCTTCTACAAGACATCTCATATTATACCCCAATTCAAATAACAGGAACAATTACACAGATCAAAGAAATGTTTGCTAAGGTTACTAGTTGTTTATGTGGGCTGAGTGTTGGTGCTATGGCTTATATCAATGGTACTAGACAAGGAACTGTACACATCTATGGAGTAACCTCATTCCCATTCGGTTACATTGGCAAAGTGGAGTTCATTTGGGTCCCAAGCGACAGTATCAATAAAAATCTGTGGCTTTTTGTACATCCATCACAAGCAAGTATAATACAATCAGTTTTAACTGATGCATCCTGTGTAGAGGACAATAGTGATTACGAAGTAGCCAAAAAAAAGAGAAAAGTCAGTAGTGTTACCGGAAGTATTTCAATAAAAGTAATGCAAAGGTATAATAGATTTAGATTGACTGGGCCGAACAGCCATGCTATATTGGCAGAGAGCCTGAAATGTGTGAGTGATGATCTTTTAAAAAATGCAAAGTGGACATCATCGCATACACCTAAAGACTTGATAGACAAGAATGAATATTGGGAAGCAATAAGTACAGCCAAGTCTCCTGCGCAGCTACCTTCTCATATGGTTGTGGGACTAGTTGTAATAGATCCTCGTTTAAGGAGACCGAGATATCGCACTAAAGCAAAACAAGAAACCGACACAGACATAAATACTGACACTTTACGTAAAGTTCCACCTTACCTCTCAAACTCTCCTCTATGGGATGTAAGAATACATGAATCGTTAAAAAAGGAGTTGATGACTAATGGCCAGTTTGTGAAACATATAACCAAGAACAACCTTGTACCTGGGGTAGTTGATGAGGATGATCCAGCATTGCAATGTGTGCCTGTTGTACTGGTACAGAGACCTGGCTCCCAGAATCCAGAATTCAAGAAAATTGGTAAGTAACTGTATTTTTAGTTCTCAACCAGCAATTAGAAATAAGGTAAACTTATTCAAGAATAAGTTTTCTATTGCCAATAAAATCTTTATACCAAAAAATATTTCAATAAGGTTTTATATTTTCAGGATATGGCAGTGGATGGGACATAATAATACCATCAGGTTATGCCCTACCCTTCTGGTTGACATTCATCATGTATGGAGCGAGGTCAGGGGGCTTAAGAGAAACAGAAAGCTTAGCGTTTGAAATGGGAGAGTGTTATCTACCTCCAGACTCGGATGCAGGAAAAGAGAATGAAAATAGAATAGAATCAGAAATGCGAGATAGATACTTCAGGCTACCACCAAGTAAAAGGGTTAATTACAATAAAATTGCCATTAATAGCCCTTTCAGATGTCCCTGGAATATACTGCTAAGTGACTGGAGCGACAATAAAATCAACGACTTCTTTATTTTAAGGAATAAAAGTGCATTAAATGAGATACAGGTAAACTAAAAACCACATACAGAACTGTTTCAAGTAATTGCTCAGATTAAAGTAGATTTTAAGTGTGTTATTGGTTTTTGTTTCAGGACTGCATAACCAAGAAGAAATGCTTACCAAATATCGAAAATGGCAACACATGTTTAGTTCCAGTGTATGTGAAAGTAGCCGCCAAAGGTAATTTACAAAGGCATGCACATATTTGCTTGCCGGCAGTAAGTGACCTAGCTAACTTAAAAACCTTATTTGAACCACACCATGAGGACCCCAATGAAAAAGTCAGGAAACTAAAACGTAAGGAACATGCAAAATCATTGAAGAAAATCAAAAAGAAAAATTATAAACTGAAGAAGAAACTTCAACAAGAAAAGAAACCTGTAAGTTTGCTATTTCAGCCGATTTTTTGTACCAAACTATTGTTTTAGTTATTTTCGTAGTTTTAACTCTTGCATCCACTGTTTCAGAAGTACACAAAGAAGTTACGGAAAATACATCGAAATGAGCCATCAGAATACGTAAAGGCAATGAGAGAATTGTGGCTTCCATCCAAAATAGAAACAGTACGCAAAGTCGCCACCAGAGAGGTGATGGGCTATATCGCGCAGGGCGCCTTCAGTTTCACTGAAGCAAGAAGTTGTGGCGTAGGATACATTGCATATAATGCATTAAAACACCTACTAAACACACGTCTAAATCAAGTTCTAGTAAGAAACCCAACATCGAGAAAATACAGACTAGCGAATATAATAATTATTACAAATACGTAAATAAAAATCATATTTTATAAAATTATGCATTTATTTTTTTTCACTAATTGTTATTACATATTCTATTTCACCATAAAAACCTACATTTCTAGGTTTCACCTTCAGTTTAGGATGAATAGCAAAAATAATTTACTATCAAACTCTGTCAACAATATTACATATATTGATACACCCGCATTGTCTTTCAGCACAACAATGATTTAGGAATAAGTCAGTTGTAACATATAAATACTCTCAAGATTGTTTATTTATGAGATTTCTTTAATATATTAGCATGATACTATTACATTACAATGTAAATGCTTAAATTTGTACGAGGTCAACTCTGTCCAGAGTAGAGGTTTTCCTATAACTATACAGTTTTTACATTAAATATGCGTACATCGAATTTATTGGGATAGGCCCGTGGATACAGTATACAATGTATGCTACAGACAGACTCCAGGCAAAACTGAATGTTCGGCTACAGCCGAGACGGGCAACATCAAGAGCTGTACACACGCCCCCTCTACCGCCAGCCCTAGATCTTAGACCGCTTCCTAGCAATGGCGTCCTCGACCGCTTTCAATTGCTTTAACAGCTCCTCTCGTCTCGATACCGATTTCTTTGCAGGTCCCGAATTTACAGGTGATGTCGCCCCACGTTTCTTGCCTCCGCCGGACTCTGAAAAGTTATTTTATTGTTATACCTAATCCACACAATACTAGCCAAACTGATATAAATAGTTTTCCGTAAATTAAATGATTTTTATTAATAAATTAGAGCTTAAATAGAGAAGAATATAAGTAACGTAACGTGAATTCCGTTTTACGCAGGACCAGTTTTTTTTTAATGTTTTATAATAATAATAAAGTTAGACTATAAATAAAGCTGCAACAGGCTATACCCGAAATCAGACTCAACACTAAATTTACCTTTATCACTTGGAACTTCTTTCTTGCTAGTAACAGTGGTCACTGCTGCAGCTAATCCAGCTCCCGTCTTGGCATTTAACCTGAACAGAAAATTAGATATAAATAAATAACCCATAACAAGCAATATATAATTATTGATAGGTAAAGGACTAACATAGGATAAACAACTGTCAATGTAGGCTTAACTTTGGTGTGAGAATAATGAATTTACAATAGAAGGGCAAAGAGTTTCTGAGCGTATGGAATGGAAGAAAAAAGAATTCTTGCGTGCACAATATGGTCAATATTTTTACAAGTAAACAAAGTTGCAATCAACAACATTTAAATAATAACAATTATGTCATATGGGATAAAAAGTAGTCAATGTGTTATCCAGACTATAATCTACCCCTATCCCAAATGTCACCCCTCTCTTTAGCTGGTTTGACATTTATTACTCACAAACATATACAAACTTTCATATTTATAATACAATATAGGATTACACAAATATAATAATTCGAGCATTCTCACCTGGGTCTGGCAGCTGCATTGAGCAGACGAGCGTGACGAGCACGACGAGCACCGGAACTGCCTGATGATGATGACGAATGTGACTCGCTCTCAGATTCACTTGAAGATGACGATGATTCTAGAAATACACAAACAAGTTTCGGTAACCGGATAAAGAAATAAGATTTAACAATATCTCTATTTCATTAAAATCATACATACCAGAACCGGAAGACGATGATCGCGAATATTTCTTCCTATCCCTGTTGCGACTTGATATTTTATTGCGTCCGTAGGGATCCATTTCATCCTAAAAGAAAACAATAAATAAATAAATGTTCGCACAGAAGGCAGCACGCCTTTGTTTCTTGGTAATGATGAATAATGTATTTATCGCATTTTTATTATCACGTCTTAGTTACTTGATGCAAATAAATAAAGAAATAAGCACGTACTTTATGTCGATGTAACGCATGCGATGCTGGGGGCGGCGGGTTGGCGGAAAGTTGCCTGGCGGCGGCCGGGGACGGCGCGCGGCGTCGCGGCGCTGGAGGATTCATTGCTGTCGCACGCGCCGTCGCCAAGCGACGCTCGCGGACTATTACTGATGGAGACAACCTGTGGCGAAACAACCATTATTACATAATTAATTATTTATATACTTTTGTAATTGTGAAGATTTAATTGTTGTAGAACAAAGTGAACTACTGAAAACAATAAGATTTGAAACATTACATGGATTTGGATAGCATCTTTTCGCAATCCAGTCGCCAAATTATAAATTAAGCACATTTCAATTAAAAAACCTTGAATCTCACCTTTGCCTCGAAGAAGAAGACGCCCTTCTCTTGCGGCGCGCACTAGGAGACCTCGAACTTCTGGAGCTGGAATTTGAAGAGCTGCGGGGTAAGGGGGTGGAGCGAAGGGGGATAAGGGGGGCATTGTCGATGGGGGGAGAGCATGTCACGTGACACATGCGCACACGGCACCACACGCCCACAGTACAATGAGACAAGAACGAGCATGCATGGTTGTTAATACAGAGATTAAAATGATAGTGATGAAGTATCGAACACCGCAAACACCACGACATTAGACGAGTTATGAAAGCGAAACCCATCGCCCAAGGGGAGAAGGACGAAGCGGGAAGAAATTTACAATTAGAACATTGTTTTGAACATTACTTAACTTTTGGATTTGATTCCATAACTTTCGGTCTACTAGAATATAGTACTTTATCACCTCACTTATACTGGAAAACTTTATAAGAACAACAGTATAAAATCTGACATAACCGCCATACACCTTATGTGAATTTTTAACCTTTTAATAGTGCAATTTATTCCTGAAAAACTTTATGTAAGAACAATAATATAACCTTTGAAAATACAACCAGTATAATAACTATCTGATCTAATATAATAGAGTAACCAAAATCATACCTGGACGATGAATATGAGTCATCAGAAGATGGTGGTTTCCGTCTCCTGGCGGCTGGTTCAGCACGCATCCAAGGGTCGGCCCAGTCCTCGTTCCGTCCGTCCCCGCGGCGCACATCACGTCCGTCACGTCCTTCACGCATATCACGACCTTCACGACGTTCTACTTCTGCACGTTGGACTATGACTTCTCTAGAGGGTCGTACTCGACGCTAGAAATAATAAAAGATGTTTAGATATTTTTTGACTTATTATACTAAAAAAGAGTACAGATACACCTGTAAAACTAGATGCTTGAATGTTAAAGTTGTTAAAGTTTATGTACTAAATTCATGTACCCTAAGTTACTTTTGTCAATTAACACTATTCAATCAACAACTTTATAATTTATTTCTACAATTAACAAAATACAGTTGCTAAAGTTTAAATTTTGCTGTCTCTTCGTAATAAAACCTTAACACCTTCACATGCATTGAAAGCTAAGTATAAAATACATACCTTATGGTAAGCTCCTTCTTCTGTCATGGCAAGTCGTTCATCATAATGTGGGACTCTGTCGTATCCGGCTCTTTCCCGCTCATACATATGTTCACGTTCGTAAAAGCGTTCTCGCTCGTCCATTTGCGGTCGCGGGAACCGACCACGGTACATTGGACCGTATGGCCTGGAAAATAAGAGTTTGTATTACTTACTAGAGCCATTAAAAACGATGTTACCTTGATTAACATGACTTCGTAAGTCAGAATATGTATTGAACTCCTCCAAATCTTGTACATGCAAAATATAATTATCTAGACACAAAAAAAAAGATCACTAATTGATAAGTCAACATTACATCTGAGAAAATAAAGTTGACATCTCTTGCAGTTAAAAAATAGAATTATTATTGTCTAAGAAAGAAAATTTTAGAGATCATTAAATGCTATTCGACATACCCTGCTCTAAATGCCTCTGGATCCCTATAATGTGGAGGCGCAGCGCCCTCATGATGTCTGGGCGGCGAAGCCCCCACTGCGGCCGCAGCGTACGCGAGCTCGGCGTCCGGGTCATGCACAACTCCACCCACAGATAAGTGCAGCTTCTTTTCTTCAAAGTCCATGTCTTGTTCCTTCCGTTTATTTGCTATCCTAAGCATCTGTTAATGAAGATTGATTTTTATTTGACTATTCTTTGAAACCAATTTTACAATGCGAAGCATTGATATTCTATCGAATTTTGTTATAATTATAACACATAGTAAAACCAAGTTTTTTGCTAAAATTATCGTAAATAACACATCAGGTAAAAAAAAGGTTGTTCGAAAAATAAAAACTATTTTAAGTCTCAATACTACATCATCAATACCATCCAATTAAAATGTACAATGAAATAATGAAATTTATGACAAAAGCATTAAGTCAAGCCACTATTTTAAACTTTAGTTGAAGGAATATCCAAATCATTTTTCTAAGAGTTAAAACAAAAACTAACATACCTCCTTAGCAGTGCGCAGTCCTCTCTCCCACGCCGACTCCGGAGGAGCGACGTCCCTGGCGGGCGCGGCCGGGTACGTTCCACCCGGGGGCACGCCACGTACCACGTCAAACATGTTGTAGTTACCCTTGTCCGTCACACCCGGGTGAAGAAACCTAAAATAATCAATAGTTGATTATTATTAATGTTAAAGGTTGATAGATTGAATGCTTTTAGTAAATTAGAATTATAATTTTTTTTTTTTTTTAAAAAACGTTGCCCCACACTAGGATTATCTCCTGTGTCGTGGGTGCGTTTACAAACATACAAGTTCACATACACATGACACCCAGACCCGAAACAACAATTTGTGGATCACACAAAGTGTTGTTCCGTGCGGGAATCGAACCCGCGACACGTTGCACGGCAGCCGGTTGCCCAGCCACCGCACCAATCGTGCAGTCAATAATAGTTAAGTAATTTTTACATGAATTGGATTAATTTATTAAATAAACTGGTACTTTAACTAACAATTTATTATAGACGAAAAAAAATAATGTATGAACATTTAAAGACAGACAGATATAGGCAATATTTTGGGTTTTAGGTTTCTATTGGTTCTTCTCAACTAGTCACTGGCAAAAAGTGACACCTATTAGTGCGATACTAAGCAAAGGAGTTAGTACAAATCAACCACATTCTTCGAGGAATTAAGCTTAACATTACAAAACGTGATTGTACTACATACCTGCAGCTAACGCCCCAAGTACATGCTCCTCTAGAGAAGAACCGGCAGACTGGTCGCGGTTCACTCTCCTCCGGGCGTCTTTCCGCTTCATCAGACACCTCACCTTCCTCCAATGATGAGCCACGAGATCGCACCGCTGGTTTTACTTCCTCTGTTTATCAATAAAAATGATTAATGTCTATTATACCAAAAATATATTAAGAATAAGTTTATTACACAAAAATAATACAATTTTAGCTCTTATATACAAGGTATGTAATAATCTTAATAGTTTGAAGTTGGAATTTGAATAAAATGAAGAGTCCTATCTCTTGATTCCAGTATTGCCAGTAATTACAAGACGACAAACCAAACAGATTAATAGAAAATGGATACTAAGGAAATAAATTTACCCTTTTCTCCTTTGTCTTCCGCGTCGCCATTAGTAGCCTGTTGTTCTACAGGTTTTGGCTCTATACACTCTCCTTCTTCTGCTTCAAAATCTAATTGCTCCTCGCCATCCTCTGTATTGCTTGTCTTTTCTTGTGGTACCTAAAATTTATAAGAATGATATTTACAACCATTTAAGATTTTATTCAAAGTAAAACTTTGAATAATGTTGTTGGTTCTCCCAACAACGTAAAAGTAAAAACCAGTAATTTACTATGAAATTCCTATTGTGATGATTCCCACTATATGTAATGAAGTCTTGATGAAATACATATTTATAAAGAAAAACCATAAAGCATGTATTATAAAATTAAATAAAAAATTTACATAAAAATGGAGTTAAATTGGGTATTGAATGATAAGATGTCTTTTGACTATGGCTATGCAAAAGCCATAAAACATGAAGCTCACTTATTACATCAAACAATCTTTTCCTGCTCCAAGAAAGTATAACAAGCTGCTAGTAATGACTGCATATAATTAATTGCAAGTAGCCAATAGCACAAAATTTACGATACTGATAAATCAACCAAGAATGTTACAAACATCTCTAGTTTGAGGAAAGCCACTGTAAAATACAGATATGCAGCTGAATCATTCCAGATTCTGTGCTGATCCCCATCTTGTTAAACAAAAGAAAGATTTAATTACTTTTTCTAATTTAGGTGTTTCAGCCTTTCCACTATCTGATCGTGGTGATGACTGATTGCTTGCGCCGTTCACATTTTCAGCTATATGCTCTGGTGATGCTGGGGGAGACTTGGGCTAGAAAATAAATAAACCAAAAAAAACTTAATATAAGAAACATACATACATAAGTACATAGGAATAAAACATAAAAATAAAACAAAATGGTTTTGAAAACAATTGAGATCATAATAAAATCAGCATTGTCATGCCATCTATTAATTGACCACTACATGAACCAATAAAATTACTGTGCCTACTAACAATTTTAAAATAAATCTTCTAATTATTACCTTTGTCCCCTGAATAATAAGGAAAAGTAAGTCATAATAATATGGTTATACAATCTATGATAACTTATTACCTTTGAGCCTTTCTCCGTCTCCTCTGGTTCCATGGATTCCAAGTCAGATACATCTGACAAATCCTCATGACTTATATTTAGGTCTTTTCCATCAGGTTTATCACTAGTCCTGGATTTACTTCTAGATTTTCTGTCCTCTTGGTCTGATTCCATTTCCCCTAAGAAAAGAATAACAGAATAAATGAATATTTTAAATAAACACCACAATAAATATTTTCATTTTAAAATATATTACCTTCTGAAATTTCTTCTGTAGCAGGATCTTTGTTACTCCTTTTATTATATGAAGAACTCCTACTTGAGCGACTAGAATCTGATCTACTGCGTTCACGTGGAACAGGGACCATCTTTTGTTCTGCTTTAGTATGCCTTCTCCACTTCTCATTCCTTTCCTTTGGACTCCAGTCATTACGCTTAGCAGTAGGTGATGTTTGTGGTGATGATCTATATGACTTTCTATCAGGAGAAGGACTTGATGAAGGTGATCTCCTGTTGGGTTCCCTTGGGGAGTCAGGAGAAGCTGGTCTAGATCTATTGTTTGGTGAACCATGAGTAGATCTAGCCGGGCTGCTAGGACTCTGTGGTGTCTTTGGTCCCTCTCCAGCTGAGGGTGGAGCTGAAGAGTACTGATCACCATGTCCTGGTGATCCTACATTTGATCCCGCATCACTCGGGGACTTAGGACCACCTGGAGATGCAGGTATTGAATTTTCCGGGGAATTTATATCTGAATGTGCTCCACTCAGGTTACCTGGTGATTGTGGTCTTTTTCCCTGTATGGGAGATTGTGGTGATGGAGACTGAGAACGACTCTCTGGAGAGGGTGAACGTGGACCATGAGACCTAGGGGATCTTGGAGATTGTGGAGGGGACTTTGCCCCCTTTTTGGAATGTTCGCTTCTATCTGATGATGAGCTCCTTCGACTTCTCGAGCTAGTACTGCTACTACTTGATGAAGTCTGATCTCGTGAATCTTCCGAATCCATCTCTGTAAGAATGGAATTAAAGTTTGAAGATAATATCATTTTATGCACTGGTCCCAACCCAAACAAGCATTCTTATTACTTACTTAATGTTATTTTGTTTATTTAAGTAGCTTCAACCAGTCAAAATATGCATTACCTTATCAAATGTTAGTTCAAACTGTTATCAATGTACTTCAATAGAAGCAAATATCCAACGAAACACTTTATGGTATTTTATTAAGATATGTGGTATTTTTGCACAGAGATATACACTTGCACTAACTGTAAAAGTATCACTAGTGAAATAAATTATAAGTATTTAACATAAGTTATGCTAATGATGGTAATTTAATGACTATTGCAATTTATTTACACTTAATAGTGTGCAGGTAATTACATTTAATATTGGATTTCATATTTCATAAGTAATTTGACCTCTACTAAAAATATCACATTAAAAATAATAAGTCATTTAGAAAATGAACTTAATGACTTAATAATTTTGTCCCATTCTCAATAGCATGCATGCCTTTTGTACAACTCACCTTTTTGTGTAATGTAAACAGGTTATGAAATCAATATTTGATATTAACAATAATAATCGAATTTACTAACATTGGGTAAAGTATTGATCTTCCTAAGGTTACAATGATCCATTTTTAACACCTACCTATCAACTATTTTCATATATGTTACTTTGAAATCAAGAGACAATAATTTTACTGTTGTTTTTTTCTATGTGTATTAAGATTACTCAAAAATCTTAAAATATTGAAAGAATTTTGGAAATTTTACTTTGATATATTGAAATAACTGGTAAATGCTACGTTGTGATGTATATTTGGAAGACACATCCAGCCTTACCTTCACGAAGACGCCTCGAAGCCAGAATTGGTTGCACTTTGTAACACTTTTCATATTGCAAAGATTTTTCAACTTTTATAACCACAACACATAAAAAACTTAGGTCTGTCACATATATAATATACTTTTTTGAACGTTATACTGACGAAAACTTATTAAAATCAACACTACTTCAACATGGCTGTGATACTGAAGGAAATATATGAACATAATAAATAATCACTTTCCAGTACTTCCGTAGGGTTAACTTACGCCCTTACCTTTACTGAGATGGATTAGACGGTTAATTTCTTGAAGTAATTGTAATTTATATTAAAAATAATCCTCTATTTGCGCCGCTAACGATTCTCTCTCAACGAAGCGAAGTCATCAAAACCATAGACAAAAAATACAAATCAATCAAAAATCAAAGTGACGCTATGCGATAGTGATGCACTATAATAATGTTACTAAATGCTCTATGGTATATCAAAAACTGTAATCTTAATCGAACCGTAATAATAAAAAAAATATCTTAAAACTTTTCTTAAGCATTATCAATTTTCTTATATTTATAATAAATAGTTTAAGTAAATTAATAAAAATTTAAAAGCCACCTGAAATAGGTGCTACTTAAGTCGGACTAAAATCCTAGGTACCGAACAATAATTTAAAAAATACGTGTGAACCAAAAACAAATTAAAATCCGCGGCAATTTTATTTTGCTACTGAGGAACTATCAATCTCGTCAGTGAAATACAGCAAGTTTAATTTACTTTAAAAATTTGTTTCTACAATGATTGAACAAGCCCTTGATGATAATTTATCAGATAACGACGAAGAAGAGAGTTTTTTTCAAGATGTAGATATACTACAAAAGCATGGAATTAATGTAGCCGACATAAAAAAACTGAAAGCAGCTGGTATTTGTACAATAAAAGGGATACAGATGTCGACAAAGAAAAAGTTATGCAATATTAAAGGATTTTCGGATACTAAAGTTGAGAAAATAAAAGAAGCATGTCAGAAAGTTGCTACACTTGGTTTTATGACGGCATTAGAAGTTAGTGATCGTCGAAAACAAGTTTTTAAAATCAGTACAGGAAGTTCAGAACTGGAGTAAGTATCATTACGAATTTTTCATATCGATAACTAATTACAAGTTAACTTAACTACCCAAAATAAGTACAACATCCGTCCTACAACTGACTGCTGTGAAATAAATTGAAGGCACTCAACATATTTTTTAAGTAACGTAATCCTAGATAGGCCTGCATAACACTCTTTCGATAAAATGAGTAATCATTGGAGTAAATAGCATTTGGTACTCCGATGATACATCAAATATTATCAGAGAGTTACTAGTTTTTTAGAATATCTAAATGATAACACAATACATGTCACAATGTCATGACTCACGAGACTTAAGATTAGTAACGATTATGAAACAATCGATGAAGAGATTCGATAATGCTAAGAATAGTTTACCATTTTATATTGACATAAAATACATTAGACGTTTATGTCTTGTAAAATGAATTCTCTAATTAGTAATTAATTAAGTAGGTAGGTATTTCTTTCAAATATTTACCTGATATGTCCAGACGGCTCATTAGTCTGTTAGTATTATCTTTAATTCACGCATAAAAAAAACGGTGTTGATTTTATCAAATGATTCAGTAAAATTCTTCACAGCTTCCGTACATAATAAGGTGGGTAACAAGGCAACCTACTTACTAAAGTCATATAAAATGTTCTTAAATGCAATAAAATAAAACAGATATTATGTTCAGCATACGGCTACGTGATGCACAATGGCTTATTCTCAAATAGAGTGCTATCGATTTGTAGATACGAATTCAATTTACTTTATTGTTGACTTGTCAATTTATTACGATCATACGATAGGTAGTAGTATATTCATATTTTTTACCTAAGTAGATTCATACCAACATACCTACCTACTTAATTTTTGTAATTCATGTCCTTTGACAATATTTATGACGTCATCTATTTAAATTACGAGGTAAAAATTAAATAACCATACTAGTATTGGAGAACCATAGACACTAGATAGTCACCAAGTAAACTTAGTAGCGAACTAAAGCTAATTAATTACTTAGCTGCTTTGAGTTATTTTATCGAATTAATTACCGACACCAAGTTCATTAGACTACTACCCTAATACCTAAGCTGCATCTAGTCTTTTTTAATGAATTTTAAACTTTAGTGACTCAAGGAGGATAAAGCTACTTGATTGACATTTTTTTAAAATTATTATTTTAGCAAATTACTGGCCGGTGGTGTAGAATCAATGGCCATTACTGAAGTATTTGGTGAGTTTCGAACAGGGAAGACGCAATTATCTCATACTCTTTGTGTCACCACCCAAATTCCAAATGCGACGGGCTACCATGGCGGGAAGGTCATGTTCCTGGACACAGAACATACTTTGTATCCTTTTTACATAAAATAGTATTACAGCTGAGACATTAGTAAATTGTCCTATTAACTCGTCGAGTACCGGTTTTATAGACACAATTAAAGAACAATAGGTCGCGGTCACCGGTGACCGCTTGGTGTTTGACAGTTTAAGTACCAATGGAATGGAGTAGCGACCATTCAGTAAATCAGCTGAGATAGAACAAAATTTATAAAAATTCAAATAATTTACATACTGGTCTAGTCTCCACTATTTGTAGCTTATAGCATACCATTAAACCAAGTCTACTGACTAACCAAGAATGAAACTAAAAAACTCAGATCGGTAATTTATTTATTTCAATCCATTTTTGATTATTACTAGTAACTCATATTGCCCATGTGTTAGAAATGACGGTTAATGTTGTAAGTTTTGGTATAACAAATTTCTACATTATAAACCCAATATCAAAGATTTTGGGCACCGAGTTATCGATTAAGCATAGACCAGAGATGGCGAACCATTGGCACGCGTGCTATTGATGGCACGGAACATAATTATAGTGGACACGACAGTGACCTCAACACATAAAACAATGATTGTAAATAGGCAACGCATTTGTGAGAATTGTCTATCTTGTGTTAGTAATATCAGGCCAACTGCAAACTTTATTGCTACTGCTTGGTTATTAGTAGTTAGAAAAGTAGAAATAATTTAATGCGACATTTAACGACCTCAATACATATTTCTTCAAAGTGATTGGCACGTCAATGTGTAAAGGTTCGCCATCCCTGGCATAGACCATCTCAAATGACCCGCGCATAAGTTTTTCGTGCGACTGTCTGGGGCCTTAGTACGAGTTTGCTTAACGTTAAAAGTAATTGAAACGAGACTGCCTTCAGCTCTCCGATTGGTTAGTTCATTGGAGCCGGCCAATCAGAGCGCCGAACACGTACTCGTTTCGATTACTTTATACGTGAAACTTTGCCTCTGTTTTCGACAACCGGTCTTGCTATTACCATTACTTACCTGGTACAAGGTCTCTTTAGATCAGGCGATGCGATGGTTGACTACGTTGTAAAGACCAAAAAAATTATAAATAGATTTTTAAATAATGGTAGACTGTCAGAAAATGCCTACGGCATTAAGTCCGCCAATTTCACTATATGTGCAATAAAGTTTTAATAAATAAATAACATACAACAAAGACTTAAAGCTTACATTGTTAAGCTCGTATTTTTAGTCCAATTTGAACATAAAAAGCTGTTCATTAATCTCGTTACGTCATATGCCCAAAGTACCTAAGTACTTTCACGTCTTCCAGTTCGCAAAGAGAGTAATAGAAAAGGGTAACGAGGGGAGTAGGTATTAGCAGTGCCAGGCCAGTATATTACATTACCTTTAAACATACCTTACCTACCTAACTTACTGCACTGCTTACCTCTACATTATCTAGTATCTACTTAATACATGATTAAGATGTAAATTACCTATCATTATGGATATGGACAGTACATTAATAGGTACGTAATGGTGACTTCCAGTTCACTAATTACTACACAAAAAGAATAAAGAACGTACTAAACACGTGGGATTATCATGCGGAATGCATTAATGTTATTGGAATACTAAAATAACCATTTAAATATTTATTAAATGATCACTCCATTCATTATTATTTCCTCATAAATGTTGATGTAGGGAGCTACCGATTACGTCATTATTAATTTGTAGTAATAATTTATTTATATCTTAATGTATAGGAAATTCTTTGTGTGCTTTTTGATTTTATTTTCCTTTGTTTTAACCGGTTTTAATAAAGAAACGTAGCGTTGTAGTTAATATCGTCACATTAGACAACAGCAAGTCTCGCAGCTTTATGTAGTGTGGTTGTTTCTTAGTCCTACAGAGAATCCTTAATATGTGTTCTTTACGTCATGTAATGGGCCCTGATTGAGTCAATGGGCTGCAAATTATAATTATAGTATTTTAAGCAAGTAGGTTAGTCTATGATAGGTATGTCTCATCCCCATAATTACGTCATCAGCTCGTTTCCTTCCGCATTACCCGCGGAAGGCACATCTAGGTATGGTTCTACAATAACACACCACCAACCTCGATTTACTTTTCTATTCAATAAAAAAATGTACAAGCTACGGTATAGGCCTACATTCACACTTTCCGTCATACTTACTTGTGAATAATGAAATAGTCATGATCAGCATTTGTAAACATTATAAAGTAATTATTTTTATTTATTTAACTTAAAAACATTCGGTTGTCTACTCATTCAATATTGTAGGGCCTTACAACCCATATGAGTGATTATGTTATTATTAAATTACTATTGTAGGTACCTAAGCACCTACCTACTACAAAGGATAACATTCTCATTTTCACTTTATCAACTACATTGAAAGCTCAATAGCTCTAATTCTTTAACAATGCACCAGCCGGCCTGACCGACTTCGGCCAATTGCAGACAGATTCAATTTAGACCAAAGCGCAGTCCTAGATAACGTTCTGTATGCGAGAGCGTACACTTCAGAACATCAGGTTAGTAATCTTTAAGTTCTGAATAGTTAAAAGACAGGTATGTAAACAGATCACAAGTAAGTACCTATATCAATAGTAAAGGGTTATTTAACACACTTATGCGTCTAAAATTTTTTTCCTTAAATTATCAGAGCATCAAGTACCTGTAAATTGCTCCCATATCTGGTCGAATGACGCATTTCCGATGCTCTGTGTATCTGCGATCTGTGGAGTGCTGGAACTACGGCAAACCGATGAACTCCGTCTTGGATTTTCCAACGTTTATAGTTTTCGCGTTCCATAATACCCTGCGTGGTTATTCCCTGAAGATGAATAAAAATTAAAGTATTGCATTTGTGCCAATATTAGCTAAGGAATCAGCCTATCTTGACTTGACTTGACTACTGGAACAACGAACAATTTACGCATCGGTAAATCAAGACGCTTTCGCTAGATGACCTTAAGCTCTAGTAAAAATGCTTACTTGAAGTAGCCGGGAAATGACGGTGGCTGTAAAACTAATATTTTAACATAACTATTTACTTTCTCAAGGCGGAACTGTTAGACTACGTGGCAGCCAAGTTTCACGAGGAAGCTGGAGTGTTCAAGCTTCTGATAATAGACTCTATTATGGCCTTATTTAGAGTCGACTTCTCCGGACGTGGCGAGTTGGCTGACAGACAACAAAAATTAGCACAAGTTCTCTCACGGCTACAAAAGGTTTGTTTAAACTTTTTTTAATTCTCATCGTGACTTGAGCGTGCGTCTAAAATGTCATGTCTACATGACTAGTCATAAATGCCGATGTGTAGATAAATATAAAACTTATTTATAGGTCTACCTAGCTACTACTAGCTATGCCTGAGCACTGGGGCATGAGGGCCCCAAATTGCCGTACCTTACTATATCATCCGATCTATTGAACGTAATGATAAAATTGAGCCTGAGGAGTAATAGGCACCTACATCTACCTATTGCATACCTACAAAGAAATCAGCTGATGCAATTTATGTGAAAACAATATTGATATTGACTTAACAGTGGACTCAATTGATAGCATTTTTTGGTCACGCGACTTACGAGTGGTCCTATGAACCAATAATATCTAGATATTAATACAACAGCTTCGTACAAGTATGCATCTATATTTAACTTCAACGTTAGTAGGTACTTAAACTACGCAATGTTCTGCGTCGCAGTTATTTCAAAATACTACGTTTTATATTCTTGTGTGATGCCGACGTCTAAAACAGTCAAATTGGAATTAGAGTTCAAGATCACAGCGGCCAGCGTGACGGCGCTGAGCACGCACATGATTGACTCGTTTGGTCTAAATAGATAAATATGCATCCGGTTTTAAACGAAATCGCTCTTAAATATAAACTTGCTTAACCGAAGATAAGGCAGTTGTGAGTTTATTTTAACAATAACTGTTAATTTTGTCATGTGTTGTCTTTCATTTTGTTTTCTAAACATAATCACGCTACACTCGGTAAATAATTAGTAATTAGGTCCAATTAAGCAGGTCAAGCACATAACATCGTGTCATTCAGTTTCCAAAGGGCTAGGAGTGGTTGGAGCCTTTAGAGGTGTACAGTACACATAAATATTTTTCGTATGGATAACATACACAACTTCGTATATTTATAGCACAGTCAGTCAGTTTGAAAACTTTAGAACAAAGAATTAACCGGTTTACCAAAACATATCTGCTAGGATTTGCTAATTATATTAAATTTTACGTCATCCCATCATACTATCCATTTTAATCGTACAGATATTTGAATACATTAAAATATTTCAATTACAGATATCAGAAGAATATAATGTCGCTGTATTTATAACAAATCAGATGACAGCCGATCCGGGGGCCACATTGTCTTTTCAAGTGGATCCTAAGAAACCAATCGGAGGGAACATTCTCGCTCACGCTTCCACCACCAGGATATCTTTGAGGAAGGGCCGTGGGGAGAATAGAATCGCTAAAATATACGATTCTCCAGACTTGCCTGAAAGTGAAGCAACATTTGCGATTACCAACGGAGGTGTGGCCGATGCTAAAGATTAAATAAATATTGTTAAGTCTACATTCCGATGTTTTATTTAATCAGCACGATATCAAAGACTGAAGTAATCAAGACTATAATATAATTCGAACCTGCGTAACGCAAACCGCAGCATACTTTTCCCTTGATAGATTTTATGTTCTCTTAAACTTTTTAAACACTTTTCTTGAAAAGTTCAATAACTCATAATGGGTTGCTATCTGCAATAAAGCCACACGTGTTACCTAGTATGCAGAAAGGGGATAAAATAATTATTACGCACATTGTAAGCGATATGTCGTACTTACTTGATTGATCTTTTATGACGAATAATCGTAAGATAAACGGCTATTAGACACACGCTATAAATTACTAACTACCTATTTTGTTATCTTATAAAACGTGCTGCATTATATGTAGTTTCCAATACTGCAATATTTTTCAGATTTCCGCTATAAAAATATTACGTACCTATTGCATGTTTGTAGCAAAAAAATTGATAGAGACTGAATGGAACTGCATTCGATAAATAAACTACCTACCTAGCTAGATTGATAGCATTATAGCTAGATATTATTGACCAAAACTGGCTCATTGGTAAAGAAACTACAGGCGTCCAAGTCGGGCAAAATATTATTGTGTTTTTAAGATGCCAAACCCATTTGGGCGCTTATAATATGCTTGATGGTAGTCGTCATGTACGGTTATGGATAATAACCGATCAAATCACATAGGTACTTAAATTAATTAAATCATATAGGTATATAGGTACTTGATTAAATCATATAGGTAGGTACAATAAGTAGGTTCCTTCTGCCTAGTTCGTGTTTATAGGGCTTTCGCCCTATATAAGTTTTAAAGACATGGTCTATATGAAATATTATTACGTAGGTAGGTAGAAACTAAACAAATGTCATCGACCTATAAATCGGAAGATTGAGATAACTTCTGTAACCCGAGCTTGTCTTCACTCTCCAACCTTATGCAGTCAAGCGGACCCAAAGTCCAGACGTTAACGAAATCGTTTTGTTTTCGTCACACAGTGGCGTGATTCAAACGAACCAATTATGTCTCTTGCTGCGATTAGATAAACAGCAGCTAACATACTTTCATGATTTACGCTACACGTTGTTTATTATATTATATGAAGTGCGTACGGTCTCAACTAAAATATATTATGTGCTTGAGCACATTACTCAATAGATATCGGATATCTCTTACACTGACTGCGATAAATTAGTTAAATACTTCCGCCACATGCTTCAACGTAAACTCGTGTGTTCCATGAATCAACAAATAAATATTTAAGTTATTCAATGTTTGTTTACGGTCCTACCTAGGAAGGTAGGTAAGTAGTTTCATTTCAGGTATATCCGAGTCAGTAGTTTCTATCTAATTTCAAGGTCTTAAATATCGGTATTTTTATTATCCACTTTTATGACTACATTTATTTAGTTAGGAACTTCATAACGAGGTACTTAGATATTAAAAACAGAGTAGAAACTCATTACATGCCTACCTATAAGGTAGGTAGAGGTGGGTTAGTAGGTACAAGGTAAAGATATAAGGTCCATTCTGTCATAAAAAATTGAAACCAGTGTAAGGAATAAATCCGTTTAGGTTCATGCCATTGATACAAATACATCAGCGTTAATTACTCTATACTGATTGATAATATCTCACTAAACACGCTCTGGCTTTCGTAGAAAATAACGATAGGTACAAAACGCTACGTAAGAAGTACCTACGAAGTGTTTACGAGAATAAGATTATAGATAGATTAGGTACTTAGTCATTTAGAAAATGGACTTAATATACTGAATATAGATTACATATAAGTAAGTATCTACCTACATACGTAAATGTTTTATTATCTCTTAGTTATGTAGGTATTGGCTCTGGATGAAATTATAACGCTAGTTTTTCATCGTGGTTCTAGTATTTCACGGGAGGCCGTAAAGTGATGTTTAAGTGCCTTGTTTTAACATTATGGTAAATAAGCATCGCAATTTTTATGTTGGATTTGACGAAGAAAGCAATGAACCATAATTCTGAATTACCTATTTATAAACTTATTACGTCAGTAGCTTCCATTTATTCTCGCAGTTGGATTTTCGCCAATAAGCGTAATCGAGTAATTTATTGTTAAATTTTAGTTTTATTTCTTCCAGTTAAATATTATTTCTCAATGTTGCATTTTCAGTTAGTTAGTGTGACGAGAATCTAAGTATTCATTTTGACAGATCGTATCGCTATCGCTAGCGTGACATATTCTGACAGAAGCCAGCAGATTTTTTATCAGTAGGTACTCAGTTGTTTCGTGAATCCTACGAGGGGCGGAGTGCTGTGGGTTAGGCGAGGAGTGTCGTTTTTAATTCAATTATCAAAAAAATTATTTGTCTAAAATTTTACAATCCGTTTGTGATATCAATAAAATCAGACTGTTTAAAAATGAGTGAAAACAACGAGAATAAAAAACAAATTCGTGTGTGGTGCGATGGGTGGTGAGTAATTTATCGAGTTTTTATTTTTACTTCATGTCTTCATGCTTCTACTTGGTAATAATTGAAAATGTACTCGTGCTGCTTTACCCTTAATGTTTTACTGCAATAAAATTTCTCGACTACAATGTTCTCAATGTAATTCCGTAAATTAACGTGTGTAAGCTGAATGACTTACCTATTGGTAGAATAATTATAAAACATCCGGCGCGAACGATTTAGCAGTTAACAATCGCTATATATACAATGATGATTTTCTCTTAATTTCTCCTTGGGAACTCTCAACACGACGGTAATGATTTCTAATTGGTTTCCAGTTATGACATGGTACATTTTGGTCACGCAAATTCGCTGAGACAGGCTAAAGCATTGGGTGATGTGCTGATCGTGGGAGTACACACAGATGAAGAGATCTCGAAGCACAAAGGTCCACCAGTGTTTACTCAAGAAGAACGGTACAAAATGGTGCGTGCCATCAAGTGGGTTGACCAGGTGGTGGAAGGTGCACCCTATGTCACCACACTCGAGACTCTGGACAAGTACCAGTGTGATTTTTGTGTACATGGAGGTAATTTATTGTACTGTTTTACTAAGAACATTCTGTAGTAATTTACATTATAATACATTACTTACTATACTATTTTTATATGAAAACTGTGTAAAAATATTATTTTTCAAAACTCAGATATATTTGAGTAAAATAATATTTAAAGAGCTCATTAATCTGTCAAACACCAAGCGGTCACCGGTGACCGCGACCTATTGTTCTTTAATTGTGTCTATAAAACCGGTACTCGACGAGTTAAAAAAATGTTAAGTAACAACATTTTCTGGCGGCAGATGGACATAAAAAAATTTAATTACTAGAAATAATTATATATGTATATTAAATAAAATGAAATATTGAATTATGCGTCACAAGTTTTGTTGTTTGTATAAACCTGTTTTGAACTGGACTCAGTAAATTTAGTTTTTATAAATAGCATAAGCCTTTGTAGCTGATTTATTACATATTCCTATTTTTATTTTATGTGAATAACTGATTAGCTATACCATGCATAATTTTAGTAACAAAAAGTACCTTAGTTAGTAAAAATATTTTTGTAACAATAAACTTACTGTCATTGGTCTAATTGGAATGAAAATTGAAACATCAATATTGAACATTAGTCTTATTTCCAGGATTTACAAAACAAATATTATAATTTGCAATAGCATGTAGGATTTTTTGACAATATTTTCCTAATGTACGATAATATGCTTGTCCTCTATTTTATGACACAAACACAAAGCAAAAACCTGTTTTTTATTGTGTATAAAAGAACATCAAGCACATATTGTTTATTTACAGTTAAAACTTGATCAATTTCTGATGTAAATCCTTGTGTTTTCAGATGATATAACAGTGACTGCAGATGGAATTGATACATATCATTTGGTGAAAAAAGCTGGTCGCTACAGGTAATATTTTTTTCTATAAAGTACAATTAGGTTAGTGAAAAATTCTTGGTAATAGTAAGGGGCCTCAAATAGTATCTGGAGTATGAAGATAGGCACACCATTATTATATGAGACACTCAAAATATAACTGATGAAAAGTGTTATACAACATTTATGAATATTGACATCTGACTACCCTTTCAGGGATTCCAAGGTGTGATGCTATACATTTAGTACTAAAATACTACATCATTTTATATGTTTCTCAATTTTTATTTGCAATGTACTAAAGAAATTGACTTAAACACACTTTAATATGCAATAAATCTGCGATAAATCATGTAACTACTGAATGTGATAAAGTAGGAATAGAAATACAATATTCACATGTATTTTACAAGCCTTTATACAATTGTAATATACAGTCACACATAGTTAATTGAAATAGGTATATTATGGCTTTGAATTATGTACATTATTGGAACAGGGACACCTGAATTTGAGACCCGGTGTGACTCGAAGCAATTAGAGCTTTTCTCAAATACTTCACGGGAATAAGCCATATTAAGATTTTGTAGAGGTGTATGAATTAAAACTCACGACTTCGTCCGCTTGGAATAGTGATTTACTCCTCCTCTCCCATTGGTGATGGTGTTATAATATGTAGCCTATATGTTGACCCGACCTGTTAGTAATATTCATGCAAAATTTGAAGTAAATCCATGTAGTACTTTTTGAGTTTAGCCCGGACATACATAGAGACAAACAGACGAAAATTCTAGAAACCGTGTATTTAGCTTCAATATCGCATGGAAATCACACCCAAGCATTCTTTTAAAAAATATTCAATGTACAGTTTTCACTTTCCTAAGATTTTATTATGTATATAGAAGATTACCTGCACATATGTATAAGTTTATATTTCTATGACACAAGTAAACAGAGTAGATTATAATAATATAATTACATATACCCATTTAATAATTAAACCATTTTCCTTATCAATCGGCTTCATAATTAAAAACTACATGAAATCTAAATTATAAATGCTTTATAAAGTAGTTATTTATTGGTGTAAATATTAGTTAATGCTGTTTTCATCAAAATTAATGTTGAATTGTCTTGTTAGAATAAGAATCAAATATCAGATTTTTAAACAAAATTATATTATATGGAGTTTCTTGCTCGTTCTTCTCCATTCGAATCTACTTTTTGGAATGAGCACCTAGCTTCACCTAGTTTCACTGACGGACTGACTGACAGACTATTATTTATTTTGTATTTGTTGACGTTTCAAAAGCACCAAACTATGGTTTAATTGAAATAAATGCTTTGACTTTGACTTTGACTTTATAAGTTGCAAGTTAGAAACCGAAAATGTGACAAGTTTATAGCAAAATTGGCTAAGGTACAATCCTTTCCTTAAGTATACCTTCATCTAAGCCTTTGAAGAATAAAGGTCACATTTAACCGGCACGGTTCCAACCCAGCAATTTGTCATTTATATGTATGAACTTCAAACCATGTCGTATGATATATTTCAAAACGTCAGTATAAAAACTGTCGACTGTGCGCTTGTAACTTTTTTATATTATTCAAAAGCAAAAAATATGCCATACTGGAGCCGTGCCGGAACCGTTCTCTTTAAGTGAGCCGCTTTGTTTTTTTATACCATTCTTGTTTGGACCAAGCCACTGCATGTGTACCATATTGCTAAGATTTTAATTTTTTATATGAATATTTTTTTTACAGAGAAGTGCAGAGGACGGCCGGTGTTTCTACTACAGATCTTGTAGGACGCATGCTTCTTCTAACCAGAGAACATTTCAAGTAAAGCATTTTCTTTTCATATGCCAACATAATATCCATATGCCATTCTATAATATCCATATGATCATAAACATTACGCCTGTGGTTTCGAAGAATTTGGTTATTACAACTAAATTCTAATTTGTTTAAAATACTTAATAATAATAAACTTAAATAAATGGTGAAATTATTTTTCAAATCGGTCCAGTAGTTTCGGAGCCTATTTAATGCAAAAATAAATAAACACTTAAACCTCTTCGTAATATTGCTACAGTATTTAAACCTCAAGAATGACCGGTACAACTTTTATAATTTATGCTTTTTGAATTTAATTTTATTCCTCTTAACAAATATTCACAAAAGAATTATCTATTTTAAAAACTCCATACTTTTAAGTAGACGGTTTAACATGCAGAAATTAGCATATTAATATTGTAAAAGACAAACAGAAAATTAGCGTTGCGTGAAGAAGTATGCTGTTTTAATTGAGTATTTATAACGTAAACAGTGACCTTTAACGTCTTCATACGTGAGAATGCGAAAACTCTGAGAATTAAATAGTCTCCGAGTTTTACCTAATGTTATTTTAATGAAAATTGAAAATACTTAAAAGTCCATACATGTAAATACGTATTTGAATATTACCTACCTACGTTTAATTTTAATCTATTATAAAGTACCTGCATTATCGCCGGTTTTATAGTTTATGTTGATGTTTAGGCCCTAGACATAAAGTCACGCCTTTGTCCCATGCATTAGCCTAGGCAGACACTACAGAACGCCACCTAGTGCGATCGTTACATACTCTTTTAGCTACCTACCATAACATCCCTAACCTGTGAAACCTTTAGCCTCCAAAACATTACCAATTCATCCTATTCTAGGTTACACTTAAGGCGTATTGATTTCCAGGAGAGGTGACAAAGAGTACTCGGTGGCTTTGGAGCACTCCTCGAACCTCGGCACTGACTCCACGGCTCGGTCGCCGTACACCGGCTGCTCACAGTTTCTGCCCACTACACAGAAAATTATACAGTTCAGCAGTGGTCTCTCACCCAAACCCACTGATAAGGTAGGACATTGAACCCTATTGACATTGACTTCTCTAAATTGATAGCAATACATATTTGTTACGTCAGCGTCAACCCGGATAGAGTATCTTTATGCGAAACTTGTTCTTGTAGTTACAGTTAAAAATTAAGTTAATAAATAAAACGTTCTGGTTGGTAAAGCAGGGGGTCACGGATGCGATCCCCAGGATGAGAATAGAAACTATTTATTTTTTTTTGAAAACTCTCAGAAGAAAATATAGCCATTCTAGACGAATACTTACCCTTATGAATTATATTATTATTATAAATGACAAAGACTAGGCATTACGTTACTCAAATAAATCTTATTATCTTTGTTCAGTAAGCTTCGACGTGAATAAGATCTAAAATAGAATGTTGTTCTCTGATGCGTTAGAGATAATTACAGACAAGCCCATACTGATATATATTTATCAAATACGTAATACATATTGATAACAAACAGTTACTATTAACTGCTTCATAATTTTAAGGCGGTGTCCACTAGAATGCTATTTTATTTAAGGATAGTACAACAAAGTATTTAGTCTGATCAAGTATTATTAGGTTCTATTTTGTAAATTCTGTAACAACACGTAGCCATTTGTGTCGCTATGAAAAGTGGTACCCATGTGCTTCTGTACCTATCCCTTCTGGGATTAAATAAGGCATATAATGTTGATATTGTATGTTGTCACGCTTGTCTGCCATTGGTAGGCAGAGAAAATTGAACGCCAAAAGATACGACTCTGGCAAGTCTGTCATACCTCCTGCGCTTCATCTACATTCATCAATCTCTTCATGCTTGCTCGTCGATTGAGCGCACTTGACAACATGATGTTGAATTGATAATAAAAAGTATTAATAATTATATTTTTAACGATTTCAGGTAGTATACGTAGCTGGTGCTTTTGATCTCTTCCACGTCGGCCACTTGGACTTCCTGGAGGCAGCACATGCTCAGGGAGACTTCCTTATCGTGGGCCTACACACTGACCTTGAAGTGAACCGCTACAAAGGATCCAATTACCCTATCATGAACTTACATGAACGGGTCCTCTCAGTACTGGCTTGTAAGGTAATTCATTATTGTTATTATACAAACATCTATAAAATTTACAATGTTTTAACTAGCTTTAACATGCTAGATATTTGCTCACGTTTGCTCCTCTGCCCTTTGGCGAAATATAAGAATACGAATTCAGTTTATGTAAATAATAATATAGGTTATACAAAAAGTTGGTGAAGTACAACTGCCAATCACGCTTCATTAAATCTTAGATGGACAATAAAACCTTTATGAACAGTGTACAAATAAATTGCCAATGCCAATTTATTACCTTGACCAGAACGATATGTAAGCCGTGATTACTGCGGTACTTTCGATAAGAAAGCATTTTTATTCATAGGTGTATTTACATGTAGAAGTACATTGTTTCACAATTAAAGCTAGGCGTTTTCTTATTTTCGTAAAATCGTAAAAACAAGACTACGTACTCTATTAGCACACCCCTTAGAAGGGGATTAGAAGACATGATGTTAGAAGAGGGAATGGTTCTGATAAAACTGTTTTGTTATTTCAGTATGTTCATGAAGTAGTAATTGGTGCACCGTACAGCGTCACAGCCGAGCTCATGGACCACTTTCGTGTAAAGGTGGTCTGCCACGGTCTCACAACGATAGCTACAGACGCAGATGGATCTGACCCTTACAAAGTACCCAAACAACGCGGCTGCTTCAAGGTAATTAGTCGTTAAGAAATATTTCTTGATGACTCGTACATATAAACGATTATTTTAAAATCTTAAAAAATATATGATTTTTACAAAATCATAGATCTAATTTTCTTTTTCCTTTTTTTTCAGATACTAAATTCTGGCAACACCATGACAACAGATGATATCGTTCAAAGAATAATACGCCATCGACTTGAATTTGAATTACGGAACACACGTAAAGAACAAAAAGAATTGGCAATAACGAAAACATTGAAAAAAGAGGCACATGTCAAACAAAACGGTAACTGTGAAGCCATAAACGCAAGCTAAAGATACATGTTGTGAATTACTATAATCTTTTACCAAATATTGTGTTAGTTTGAGCTATTTAGATGTAGAATTCTAATATAAACCGGTTCACTATTGGTAGAGTAAATACCTTCTCTGTTTTTAGGTCTGTATAAATGACATAGTTTAGTCGTTTATGCCCTTTGCAGATGTAACTTTTGATTAAAAGTTAGTCGAATTGGAGCTTTTCACAAATATGGGTACGTTGACTATCCATTAAATGTCTAATTTAACTGTCGGCCAACTGTACGATTGCAGTCTGCTAGGTGCCCGAATCGAAAAAGGCATTTATATAAATCTTACTAGTTTGTGCTAATGGAAATTGTTAACAAATTATTTCAATAGTGGATCAGGTTATTCTATTTTATGTCTCATGCATATTTCCATTCACAAAAGAAAATGGTGTGCCTCATAATTTTTTTTTAAATAATATTTATTTTTATTTTGAGGTATTTTTACTATGTAAATATTTTTAATGTATGATGCAGATAATTTTAATGGAATTCCAGTTGCCCGCCTATTATTACATACATTAATTTCATACACGTACAGGTTGAGGATTAAGTGAGATTTAAGACTAAGTAATAAAAAGCAAAGTGTGGTAACACTTCTAAGGTTGGTTCAAACAAATGTTTGTTGTTGCTGGGATTCAATTCTCAATTTTTCTCGAAGTAGAAATGAATGGCCCAGTATTAATGCGCATTATTTGATATTGTTGTAGATACTACCAGTAATATTTATAAACTTATTCCATTTTTGGACCAAATGTCCTTTTCATACTCGTCCTGTATATTATTTTAATATGTTTTATTTCATTCACTGCATATTGAAATTGAGTCATACAATCATAAAGACTATCAGTATATCCTGTTGGATAGCAAAATTGAGCTTCTGATTCATTTGTCTTGTGTCTGTAGCACATAAAATATTTTATTATTATGTATAAACTTCAATGAAATCGATATTACATAATAATAATTTCTGTTGCACTAATATTTAAAATAAGACAACTTGGCGGAACAGAAAAATGTTATTATTGTTTGGTGGCGAAGATTTTTTTGGTTCAGTTGTAATTCTACATTTATATGCAATTAATTAACGAGTAATGATTACATGAACATTTGACTTTTTTATACTTTTATCTTGTTATGCGTGTATAAATATTAGTTGTGTAACAGCATTGCATTTTAAAATTATTACCTACGTCAAGAAAAATTCCAAAACTCATTACTTAAATTAATTATTTTAATCCACTCAGAAATATTTAATTTTATTGTGATTATTTATTATTTATATTTTCCATAAAATATTTCGTAACTTTTTCCTTCTTTACATAATGTTAATAAGTAAGATTAATTATAATTTGACGTTATGTACAAATTGTTTGTTGATATGTTTTATTTATGTTACTAAATGTAATTTACATCGTTAAATAGAGTTTATATCAGCTCTCTGGTGTTTTATCAAGAAAAATAAGTAGTTGGAATTGCGCAATATTTTTGTAGACTAATTCTACAATCTACAGATATCGATAAATGTTTACGAAAATAAAAATACTGTTCTATTTCAAATAAAGTTGTATCGAGATAATATTATTATGAAGTTTTCTATTCCAAACTGCCTTCGTCAGAACCAGAATAAATGCCGAAAATTTATACATATTTGGATACCAACATCCAAAGGCGGATTAAATCTAAGGAGCACCTTCGTCCAGCGTTTTATAGATACCTGTGAGTTTTATATATTAACATAGATAGGCCTTTTATGCAATTGGATCTTCTAATATTACGTGATTAGTTTTACATCACCCTTATACATGTGCAACACAGAATGATGCTTTGATGCAGGTGGGCTTTCCATTAATCTGTTATTTCTTAGGGTCCTTAATAATATGTAATAATAATAAATGTCCTTATCAATTTCGATTATGGCGGAAAGTCTAACTAGACTACCCCAGGCCCACTAAGCAGGAGATATTATAGTGCGCAAACAAATGCACTCACTGTTCCCTCAGAACCATGTGGGCCAGCAGCGTGTTTGCCGAGGCACAGCGGTGAAACACCGCCGAACTTTATGACTCCGGGTTAAGCATCGTGGCGTGGTATAATTATTATCACTTTTTGACCGCCGCGGGAATTGAACCCGGCACACGTTGCAAAGCAGCCCTTTACCTACCAATTACAAACCAAACCACTGCGCCAATCGTGAGGTTACGAGTCCTTACATACTTATACAGTGCACACATCACGTATTTGAATAATAAGTATAGGTTGGTTTATTGATTATCATATTATAGATTTATAGGGAAGGGAGTAACTAGCGAAGGTTATTGCTATTAGTTATACCATCATATCTAGCGACGTCTATTGAAGTATTGAAGATATTTTCTAATTCAATACAATCATTTTTGAGTTTTTCGATAAACCTATTGTTGTAATAATATGACTGACAAAGAAGGGGTAAACCACCCGATATATTATCTTACTATTTGGAGTAAACCCTGCCTGCTTTTGTCGAGCAAAAGACTTGGTTCTAAGTTCTGACTGTCAATGTGCAAAAAAACAGATATCCAAATTAAAAAAACGATAAGGACTACACTGGCAACATTATCCAAAAATTCAAAATGGCAGGAACGAGCAGCAATAATGTTTCTGTTTGTGAAATAATAAATCATAGTGACGTGGTGTAACGGAAATAAAGTGATTTTGGACTGAATATTTCAACTAGCTCTTATTGAGTATTGGATTTTGTTGAAGACATAAATATTTTCATCACAAGGTAAGTTTTCTGCGTAGCCGCCCACAGTTGTATTCAATCTGTTTCGTTTTAGTCTATTTCTAGTTATTATTGCGATGTCACGTTGTATTATGATCTTTTTATTAGTAGTGTTCATAGTAAACATTCCAATTGTTGATTAGAAAATGTGACATCCGTCCAAGGATAGTCGTGATATCACATTGCAAACAGTCTGATTGTTATAGATTTTTGTTCGGTAACCAGACACTACGCATTTGTAAGTTATTATTAACTTGCGGTTCCATCACCTGATCGTAGAAATAAAGGATAATGTTACAAGTTAAACACGTATTGTATGAAATTCCAACCTGTTGAACCTATTTTTTATTTAGTTTACATGAATTTCATAACGCCGGTAATGTGTCGATGTTAGAAAAATCTAATTAGATGTAAGGTTTAAGCTCTTGTTTACTTTGTGATGTTGTCACTTACCAGTTTAACTCGTCGAGTACCGGTTTTATAGACACAATTAAAGAACAATAGGTCGCGGTCACCGGTGACCGCTTGGTGTTTGACAGATTAATATTTACAAACTACTTTGACCCAGAACATTACCTACTGAGTGGTTCTATCAAGGTCAAGAACAAAATGTAAAAGTATTCCACAGTACTAATTAAGTCAGTTTTTAACTTAACATGACTTGTAGTGCCTATTTAAAAGCAAAATATAACATTATCATCTCACATTCTAATTATCTCTCACACAAGTTTTCTCTAGGTTCTACTACTTGCAGCAAAAATACAACAATGTTTGTAATTTAGTCATGTAAATGATAAATGCATTACTTTACCCTAAACATACATAACATACTTACTTCAATTTTTATTATTTAAATAAAAATATTTAAAATATTATTAATGAATATTTAAAATTGGATTTTGATATCAATTTAACTCGTCGAATACCGGTTTTATAGACACAATTAAAGAACAATAGGTCGCGGTCACCGGTGACCACTTGGTGTTTGACAGTTTAATTAGATAAATCCAAAATTTTGTTGTACAATGTGGTCTAATTGATATATTGTTTTTGTTACCCACAATATCTATCAGATTGTGTTTATGATAAGAGTGCTTCCATGAAAACCTACTAAAAAGAAGTACTTAGTCTTATTTTGAAACAGTACTTCTATTCAGACAAATTTTTCTTTTTAATTTATGCATGTAAAATGGTGATTACGGGTTTAAGGTAAAATACTGATATAGCACAACTAAAATTATGCTATGCTACAATGTATGTAATTAAATAATTTGTGCCATTTAATATCTTATCTACTTAATATCATTTAAATTAACAGTTGATCATGATTCTTATTAAATTTTATACATATTTCTTATTAGAATCAGTGATGCTTAAATTGTAGATTGTGTGTCTATTAATTTTATATTTTTTCCTATAATCAGGTTTATGAAATCTGGATTTTAGTTGTTAATCACAATATTGTGGACTTTGCACTCACATGTAAGTCTGTCAATATTGCTAATCTCTTGTGTTGACTTACTAAATTCTTAGTCAGTATACAACTTCTAACTGTAACTTATAAGTTACTAACTTCTTCCTGCAGCACCACCTGTTTTCTTAAGATGAAATATAGTCTGTGCTATTCCAGTCAAACTATCTCTACCAAATTCCTGTCCGATTATTTCAGTAGCATTTGTATGAAAGAATCGTCACAAATTTTTACAATTTATTATAACTTATATTAGTTAAGAGTATTATGAAGTTGTGCAAATTGGTGTTAAAAATTTCACTTACCCTGTGCTATGTGGATTCATCCTTATTGGTATGCAAGCTTCCTTGAACATCGAAATAATGAAATGATACAATAAAAATTTCAGTCATTTTACAACACTCAAGGAAAAAACAAATCATTAATGTTTATTACAATCAGAGATTAATTTGTAATCACTAGCAGAGCATTCTGTTAATTTCTGGTGTTGAATGAAATTTTAAGTAGATATTATTAAAATGTGTATTTTTCATAATATTCTAATTGGTTCTCACTACTTAGTGATTTAGTCCCACTCCAATAATATATCGTCATCATAATCATCATTGACAGCGGGAAGATGTCCACTGCTGGACAAAGGTCTACTCACTTAGGGGATGGGGTTCCCATAACTGCTACACTTGGCAGGCTTGGGGATCGCAGTTAGGTTACCAATATTTTTATGGAACGTTGCTGC